TTTGAGAATTTAGGCGGGGAGACGAGTTTTGGGGATGAATTTTTTAGGGAAGGGCGCGCTCTTGTGAAATGGTGGACTCACCTTTGTAGACGAAAATTTTCTCTACATTCTAGACGGATTTTTCACCTACGATGTTAGCCCTATTTTTTTAAAAAAAATAAAATAATAAAACTGTTTATTTTGCTATCCTAGACGGATATTTTATCTAGGATATTTGCATCTTAGACGAAATATTCCAGACGAAAATTTTCATCTAGTTTAACAGTAAACAAGTCGGAAAAAATTTTGTCTAGAATATTTCTTCTAGGATGTGAGATTTTCTACTAGTGTTTGCAAGTAAAGGAAGCAAAGCTTACAATGCTAGTGAGCAAATACAAAAGCTTTAAGATGAAGCCTCAGAGAGCATACATGACATATTCACATGATTCACTAATATTGTGAATAAGTTTAAAGCCTTAGTGAATGAATACCAAAATAAGGAGCTATGCAAAAAGATACTCAATTCTCTATCTCGTTATTGGGAACTTGAGGTAACAGTTGTCAAAGAACTTTAAAATTTCTCTAATCTTTCTCTTGATGATCTTGTAGGACATCTCATGAGATATGAAGTTCGTCTAAAAGAGAGAAAATGTCTCAGAAGAAGATACAAAAAAGAAGTCATTAGCCTTCAAAACTAAGAAGGAAAAATCTCAGTCTAAGAAGAAGAAGAAATTGAGCCTAATCTCTGAGGAAGAAAATAGTCAAGCTAATCAAATTATTAAAGGCTACGAATATTTCCTCAAGTCGAAGGATGGTCAAAAATTCCTGCAAGACAAATAGGATCACTATACAAGTACATTAAATAAATGTATATCTAGTGATTTTGATACTAAAATAATTTATTTTCGATGCAGAAAACCTAGCTACTTGAAGAAGCATTGCCCACTGTTATGGTATTTTCGTCACCAAAGAATGGTACATTGCTAGCAATGGACAGATGTCCCTCTTTGTACGTCGCTCAAAGCAAATTTGTAGTCAAGAACACTTAGGATCCTGACTTAGCCAACTCGTCGAGTCGACCTTTTCTTAGGTCGACTCGAAGGGCGGTACTTGTCGCCCCTTTAGTAAAAAAATGACTCACAGTAAGTCCGTTCGACTAGTCACTCGGCACTTCGAGAGGTCTGAAAGTACCCTAGAGGGGGGTGAATAGGATAATTGCTAATCTAATCTGTTTATGATACCAACTAAAAACTTATAATGCAATATTCTAGCAATATGATATACACAAAGATATATGAGAGGATAAATAGTAAAACAATAGGCGATATAAACAATAATCACAAGATATAATGAACAATAGTGTGCCAAAGAAATAATCACAAACAGACAATATGATTATGGAGTTCGGTCTAACACTCGACCCGCGTCTCCGCTCTTGACCTTGAGGAGATTCTCCACTATCTCAAAAATACTACACAATTCGGTTTTCAAAGTTCACCGAAAACTTTTACAATGCACACGATTGTCAATCCCACAAGACACACTACTCTAAGTGTTGGACTACTCGTATTACCTTCCTCAAGTGTTTGAATTTACGACTTCTCCCTAAGCTTTACAACCAACCCACTCCTCTTGGAATTGACCCCGGTCTCTCACCAACCACTCCTCTAAGTTTTTTTATGTATTACAACGTGTTACAATAAGTGCCAATAAATATTTTTGTTCTCTAAATGGATGAGAATGAACTTTAAGCTCAAAGAAAACACTCTCACAACCCAAGTATACTATATGTGAAATACTTAAGTCAAGTGGTTGTGTGTGTAAACAATGAGTATAATCAAACCAAAGTTAAACTCAATTCAATCTAGCACAAATATATGAGAATAAAAAATGTGAACGACGATGGTGGTGCAGGAGCGAGACACCCTGAGGTGTCTCGGCACCCGAGACACCTCAGGGGGTCTCGAGACACCTCAGGGGGTCTCGCGCGCCGAGAGAGATAGCGGGCTTGGGCTTTCCAGGTCGTTTTTTAGACACTGTTTTCTTGATATAAATAGGAACTTTGTTCCTAGGGTTTTGTTATAAAGATATAAATAGGAACTTTGATATAAAGAGATAGCAAGTTTGCCGAACCACGTAAAAATTGTGTCTTCTTTACTATTTCTGTCTATTGGTTATTGCTTGTGTTGATCCTCAAAGGGCTTTGTTGTTCCCTCGATATTCAAATCTTGATTTGATATCACGAAGAGTGTTTATCTCACATTGCTAAGACATTCACTTTTGTTCTTGTTTCATATCGAAACAGGAACATCAATGTTAGCTTGAGTTTTGTGAAAACAAAATCCAGGGCTTTCTCTCGAGGTGATTTGCTTCCACGACGAGTAGGCGTGTCGGCCCCCAACAATTGGTATCAGGGCCATTGTTCAGATTAGGGGTGGTAGAGCTTCTGATTTGAGGTGGTGCTCGGTTATTGTGTGGTGCATACAAGGTGTTTGTTGAAATTCCTAAGAGAAGATGATTTACTAAAACAATCGGAGAATGGCGTCTACCAGTAAAACAGTTAAAGTGGGAAAGTATGAGATCAAAAAGTTCAATGAGAAGAATGATTTTCTTATTAGAGGATGCGGATGAAAAACTCGTTGATTTCGCAAAAATTACACAAGGCTTTGGCAGGAAGAGAAAAGAAGCACAAAGATATGTCTGATGAGGATTGGAAAAAGTTAGATCTCAAAGCACGAGCGTCGATTATCTTATTCCTTGAGAGAGATGTAGCTTTCTTGGTGGATGGAGAGACAACAACTGCAGGCGTATGGTCAAAGTTAGAGAGTAGCTTCATGACAAAGAGTCTAACAAATCGAATCTACTTGAAATCCAGATTGTATACTTATAAGATGGAGGAAGGATCATCAATACAGAAGTACATCAACAAGTTTGATAGGATCATATCGGATTTGAAGGACATTAATGTAAAAGTAGAAGCTTAGGATCAAGCACTTCAGCTACTTCTTTCTTTACCAAAGTCTTATGAGAACCTTGTACAAACATTGATGCTTGTAGGTAACAATTTGAAGATGGATGAGACTAGAGCGTCCCTTCTAGCGGATGATCTTTGAAAAATTGCAACTAGTGATATGGTTACTAGTGGTAACATGGAGCAAGCACATTAATCGTTTGTAAGAGGAAGGAGTAATGAGCGAGGAAAAGGTAAGGGATGAAAGTCTAGATCGAAATCAAGACCTCTTGAAGGAAGACTGTGTTTCGAATGCGGTGAACTTGGGCATTTCAAGGTCATCTGTCCTAACAAAAAAGTAGGCGGGAAGAAGAACAATAAGAAAAACGAGAGAAGAGAAGGCAATGAAGAGGCGAGCTATGTCTTGGAGGAAGAGAGCAAAAAAGAATGCTACGTCGTTACGGGTGGTGAAGATATCTTCGATAAGTGGATTCTTGATTCGGGTTGCTCTTACAATATTTACCTAAATAGGAAGTGGTTTACTGACTATAGAAGCATTAATGGTGGAACCATATTTATGGAGAATAACCATGCTTGTAAAATAGTAGAGCTTGGTGATATCAAAATCAAGATGCATGATGAAGTGGTTAGAACCCTGACGGATGTGAGGCATGTTCCCGACTTGAGGAAGAATCTTATCTCAATTGGTGCTTTGGACTCCGGTAGCTACAAGATAGTTACAGAGAATGAAGTAAAGAAGGTTGTTCGAGGTTCCTTAGTAGTGATGAAGGGCAATCGTCATGGTAACCTATATACTCTCTCGGGTACGATAGTGATAGGAGATGCAACGGTTGGAACTGATGGAAGTGGTGGAGACCCATGTGAGCACACTCGTTTATAGCATAGGCGGCTTGGGCACATGTCACAGAAGGGTCTAGATCTGATTGGTAAGGAAAGTTTGCTGAAGAACATGAAGAAACATTGCATGGATTTTGTGAGGATTGTGTGTACAGAAAGGCGCACAGGGTCCAGTTCTTGAAAAGCAAGCACAATAACAGAGGAATATTAGTCTATGTGCACACATATATCTAGGGTCCGGCTCTAATAATTTCCAAGGGTGGTTCCAGATATTTTGTCTCGTCCATAGATGATTATTCTAGGTATGCTTGGATTTATTTTCTTAAGCATAAGAATGAAGTATTCGAGATATTAAAGAAGTGGAAAGCAATGGTTGAGAATAGAACAGAAAGAAAATTGAAGACACTGAGATCTGATAACGGTACAGAGTATACATATAGGCGTTAAAAATTGCCCATGGATTCCCGCACGTGGCTCGAGATAGAGAGAATACGATGAACGTTACTATCCGAGTCACAGAAGCTTAATTGACGTCGATG